GGGAGGGGAAGGTGTGTGAGGTGCCGCTCCGTGCTCAAGGGAACACGGCCACACCGCCCGCCCCGGCATCCCGCGGAAGAATCGCCCCCCCCTCCCTTCCGTCTGTTCGGGCGCTGCTCCTGGCGAGTTAGGCGTTGTTGAGCTGTCTCGTCGGGAGTTCGGGGTTCGCCTTCACTAGTATGTCGGTAGGGCTCAGCTTGCCTCGCGCCATCAGGTACTTCATCAGGCGAGGTCGCTGCCTCCACGTAACTTTTACTCCGTACTCGTGCTCGGGAGTGTCTGTGACCAGTACTGCTGCCGGCACTGCTCTCCCACAGGGCTCCGTATCAAATGCCAGCTCTTTCTCTGGATGCCAGGCAGGACTACCGTGTGACAAAGTGTTGCTGCATATCCAGTTCTTTAGGGAAGGCTCCTGCCCAGCCTCTGCATCTAATAGACTTAAGACTTCTCTCTCCACGGGCTGGGGAGTGGGTAACAAAGGTATCTCACCACAGTTCTCCAGGCTCTTCACCTGGATGTTGGTGTTTGCTGCTGTGCCTTTTTTGGGCTGGCTGTGAGAGCACTGTCTGGTCTTCCCAGAGCCATGTGGATGATCCGGCAGGTGAACTGCATGTCCTATATTCTCAAAAGTTAAAGGAGGGAATTTGCAGGCTACAGCTCTTCGGCAAGCTCCTCCTGCATGAAGCAAGTTGTGGTTGGCATCATGGTTCTGGGACTTGTGAGGACCACGGTGCTTCTTCTGGTGTGCTTTCAACACCACTGGCTCGGTTGTTTCAAATTGTGGGGACACCTGAAGGGAAAGACATGATAATAAGAAAAACCCCAACTAATTCCCCAGACAAGTAATGCCAACATGATTCTACTTCCCCACCTGTCCCACCTTTTTCCAGTGTGTTCATCAAGCGAGTAACCTGGTCTGCAGCAAAGCAAATCAGTCACTAACTAAGCTGCTGTGCAAGAAATACCTCTGAACTTCAACATCATGTTCTGCCACTCTTCTCTGTAAAGTCATTGGGGTACAAGTGAGCTATTCTCTGGCAACTTAAAAAGAATTCAAGATTGGGACTTTAAAGGAAATCTGATCTACTCCTTTAACCCCTGCAGGTTTAAAACAGTTCAGAGATGGATCCTGTTTCTTTCTGTGTCTTAGCATAACTCCAAATAGATTCAGTGAACTAAATCCTCAGTCTCCCTGCACAGGTAGAGGTGGAACTGACAGCAATGCTGAACGATTAAAGGATGCCTGATTAGCTCCATCACCTTAGATTATATCAATGTGGCATTAACAATTTCCCCCAAAACATCTTTGCTTCAAAAGAGACTTAATCTCTGTATTCTGAAGTAACAGATCACCCAAAATCCACTTCTGAAATCAGATTTCTATAGAAGATGGTCAAATCTCAACAATATATTTCTGGGAAAGATTCTGGATTCTTACTTAAGCCCTGGAAATCATTTCATTACAATATTCTTTATCTTCCTGGCTATCAACAAAAGGAATCAGATTCTGTTTCTTGCAATATGCTTTTCCCTAGAGCATACCAAACCGGGTTCTAATTATGTTAACTACAGATCCCTTTCAATATTCCAAAGTTACTACACAGTGCCTGTAAAAACCTAAGTGCAGTTTAATTAAGGACAGTGATTGTCTGCTGCACAACTGAACTGTGTGAATGCAAGGCCTTCCTGCAGGAAAAGAGGGAAGTGAGTCCCTCATAATTGTCTTAACTGACTTAACACAGGTCAATCACTGACTGAGGGTATGACTTCCTGGCTCCTGAGAACACGTAGGGTATGTTTTACCAATGCAGGAGCCTAGCAATTGAGAAGGCATGAAAAACTTAGATAACAAAGAATAGAGGAGCAGAAAATCAGTTGTCATTGAAACAAGTTGACAGACACACTGCAGAGGATGCATCAAGAAGTTACAAACCTACCACAATTTTCAAACTGAAAAAATATCTAACAGTTTCGGTGCTGATAGCTTCAAACAAATTTTAGAATCACTGTGTGCTTGCAGTGAAAGGGCTAGTAGTGTGGTACTAGCTAGTACTTCCGCCTCTTCCAAACAAAAGTTGTGTTTCACAGAGCTGTTTCACAGCAGTTATTTAACTTAGAAGCCATAGAGCTAACTGCCTCATACATTAAAAAAACCCCAAAAACATAAAGAGAAAAAAGTTGAACATATTCTACACTTCAAGGTTAAGGCATCACAAAAATAACTCCAGGTCACCAGGAACAAAGGAATGTCTCACACAGTTTTGAAGCCACACTTCCTGAGCTTGTTCTGTGGAGAGCAGAGTCAAGCAGCAATAATGCTTAAACACAGCTCCCCTAGGTGATGACTACTGTTGTATAGGAACAGTCTGTCTTTGCCTAAAAAAATTAAATCTTTACATCATATAAGGAGTATCTTTGGACACTTCAAACAGTCCCAGAAAAGGAGACTGTCCTTTATCAGTGCTAAAGGATTTATCAAACCAAAAGGACTGATATAGAAACTATTCAAAACACACAGAATGAAAAAGAAGGAAGGTTAGAACAAATAATCCTGAAGTGAAAAACCTATGTTCTCTAAATTCAGCAGTGTCAGATTTAAAGAAAGCACATAACGCTTCAACATGTAACATGTAGAGTTCAGCAGTTATTTCAAGCAGCAAGCCAATAAAAACATCTCCCCTAATGTTTAGCATGTGCAGGGTTTTCAGTTGCCATGGAAAACAGTGTTTTCCTGATAAGAATTATTTTTTCAGAAGACAGTCATATTAATCAGTACAGACTGCACAGTTTTACACCCTCAAATCAGCAAGACCTTAAGTGGTCGTTAGAATGTGAAGCAGTCCCTGAACACTTATTTATGCTTTAGGCTGCTACAATTAATTTAGGTCTGGGCTACTAAGTTTCGGTATCCAGAACAGACAACTTTCTGTTGAGACACACGGGAGAAACTTGGAAACCATCGCCGTGGGATGAAGGGGGAAGGATAATCTGTACCAACCCAGGCAGCAGAGGTGTTCCCGTCCACAGGTTTTGTAGGCACACGTCGGGGATTCTCAGCCGAGTGTAGTGGAGCTTCACAGCACTGGACGGGTCCCTCTCGCGGCCTCTCAAGGAACACCAGCTCTGCTTTCCTGGCCTTGTGGGTATGCTTCTTCTTCGGAGGCATCAAAAGGTATGGTAAAACCACTTAGAAACCTCATGATGCTTGCTAGAGCCAATGGGGGAAAGAGGGAAGCACCCCGAGGAGATGCTAAAGTGTTCTCGAACCTGCAGAAGGCAAATAAATGGACTTGAAGACAGACTTGTTTGGAAACCTCAGATCTAACCTTTAACAAAAGTAAAACATTTATGCAACGGTACAGCGTACACGTCTCTAGGCAGGCTTTTTCCTACCAGTAGTTTTTGAACCTACTGCCGGTTTTC